CTATATCGGAAACTCAAATCATAGCGTTTTTAAACATAGAACAACAATTCTACCGATCCATCGAATTTACAATTTTTTAGAAGAACACATTTTGCCACAAATGATATACCAAGTTAAAGTACAAACGTAACGCATTAAAGTTATGCATAAATTATTGTCATAGCATGAAAACTGTCAAAGTTATTCGCAACCATATCGGAACCTCAAATTACCGCCTTTTTAAACCTGGGAAAATAATTCTACCGATCTATCCAATTGGCCATTTTCTAAAAATACATTATGCAATAAAATATACCAAAACAAATGGCAATTTTAATGCTTTAAAATGGTGCATAAATGACTGTCCTAGCACGAAAACTGCCGAAGTTAATTGCAACCATATCGGAACCTTAGATTACAGCGTTTATTAAACATAGAACAATAATTCTACCGATCTATCAATTGACCAAAAACACACATTATGCAACAAATTATGTACCATATTAAAGTGCAATCATAATGCTTTAAAATGGTGCATTAATGATTGTCATAGCATGAAAACTGTCAATGTTATTTGCAACCATATCGGAACCTAAAACTACCGCGTTTTCAAAGCTGTGAAAATAATTCTACCGATCTATCCAATTGGCCATTTTCTAAAAATATATTATGGAATAAATTATATACCAAAGCAAATGGCAACTATAGTGCAATAAAAAGATATATAAACGACTGTTATAACATGAAAACTATAAAAGTTATTTGCAACCATATCGGAGCCTTAAATTACCGCATTTTTGAACCTGTACCAATAAATATACCGATCTATCCAATTTTTGTAAAAATTCATTATGCCACAAATTATACACCAAAATAAAGTGCAACTCTTATGCTTTAAAATGATGCCTAAACTATTGCCCTAGCATGAAAACTGTCAAAGTTATTTGCAACCATATCGGAACCTCAAATTACCGCCTTTTTTAACCTGGGAAAATAATTCTACCGATCTATCCAATTGGTCATTTTCTAAAAATACATTATGCAATAAATTATATACCGAAACAAATGGCAATTTTAATGCTTTAAAATGGTGCATAAACGACAACATGAAAACTATAAAAGTTATTTGCAACCATATCGGAGCCTTAAATTACCGCATTTTTGAACCTGTACCAATAAATATACCGATCTATCCAATTTTTGTAAAATTCATTATGCCACAAATTATACACCAAAATAAAGTGCAACTCTTATGCTTTAAAATGATGCCTAAACTATTGCCCTAGCACGAAAACTGCCAAAGTTAATTGCAACCATATCGGAACCTCAGATTACTGCGTTTAATAAACATAGAACAATAATTCTACCGATCTATCAAATTGACCAATTTGTAAAAACACACATTATGCTACAAATGATATACCATATTAAAGTGCAATCATAATGCTTTAAAATGATGCATAAATGACTGTCATAGCATGAAAACTGTCAATGTTATTTGCAACCATATCGGAACCTCAAATTACCGCCTTTTTTAACCTGGGAAAATAATTCTACCGATCTATCCAATTGGTCATTTTCTAAAAATACATTATGCAATAAATTATATACCAAAACAAATGGCAACTATAATGCAATAAAAAGATGTATAAACGACTGTTATAACATGAAAACTATAAAAGTTATTTGCAACCATATCGGAGCCTTAAATTACCGCATTTTTAAACCTGTACCAATAAATATACCGATCTATCCAATTTTTGTAAAAATTCATTATGCCACAAATTATACACCAAAACAAAGTGCAACTGTAATGCTTTAAAATGATGCATAAATGACTGTCATAGCATGAAAACTGTCAAAGTTATTCACAACCATATCGGAACCTCAAATTACCGCGTTTTTAAACCTGGGAAAATAATTCTACCGATCTATCCAATTGGCCATTTTCTAAAAATACATTATGCAATAAATTATATACCAAAACAAATGGCAACTATAATGCAATAAAAAGATATATAAACGACTGCTATAACATGAAAACTATAAAAGATATTTGCAACCATATCGGAGCCTTAAATTACCGCATTTCTAAACCTGTACATATAAATATACCGATCTATCCAATTTTTGTAAAAATTCATTATGCCACAAATTATACACCAAAATAAAGTGCAACTCTTATGCTTTAAAATGATGCCTAAACTATTGCCCTAGCATGAAAACTGTCAATGTTATTTGCAACCATATCGGAACCTCAAACTACCGCGTTTTTAAAGCTGTGAAAATAATTCTACCGATCTATCCAATTGGCCATTTTATAAAAATATATTATGGAATAAATTATATACCAAAGCAAATGGCAACTATAGTGCAATAAAAAGATGTATAAACGACTGTTATAACATGAAACTATAAAAGATATTTGCAACCATATCGGAGCCTTAAATTACCGCATTTTTGAACCTGTACCAATAAATATACCGATCTATCCAATTTTTGTAAAAATTCATTATGCCACAAATTATACACCAAAATAAAGTGCAACACTTATGCTTTAAAATGATGCATAAACTATTGCCCTAGCACGAAAACTGTCAAAGTTATTTGCAACCATATCGGAACCTCAAATTACCGCGTTTTTAAACATAGAACAATAATTCTACCGATCCATCAAATTGACCATTTTTTAGACGAACACATTATGCTACAAATGATATACCAAATTAAAGTGCAATCATAATGCTCTAAAATGATGCATAATTGACTGTTGTTTGTGTCTGTCTAGTGTAACACATAGTTTATATTTTCTCTATGTGTAAAATCGCTAGAACAATATGCATTGTATGGCAACTCCAATCGACTCAGAATCACTTCCTGTCCGTCTGTCCGTCCGTCCGTCCGTCCGTCTGTCTGTGTGTCCATGTAAACCTTGTGCGCACTCTACAGGTCGCAATTTTTGAGATAATTTGATGAAATTTGGAACATGCACTTCTCTTGGTCCAAGGACGAACGCTATTGAAAATGGTTGAAATCGGTCCATTATTTCACCTAGCCCCCATACAACCGGACCCCCCGAATAGGGCTTTTGACCTCATAATTATGTTAAATGATCTGCTATCTCTACAAAAATTGGAAAAGTTTAGTTTTATATATGTCTTAATAATTCTAGTGATTTTCGTAAAGATCGGGCATTATTTGACCCTAGCCCCCATACAAAGTCCCCCTCAGAAAATGACTTGAATGTCCACAATTCACTTATAAACAGTAGTATCACGATGAAATTTGGCACAAATGAGTTTTATATAAACATAATTCCCAACAATAAATTTTATAGGGATCGGACCAAGTTTTACTCTAGCCCCCATATAAGCGGACCTTCCGATTTGGGCCTTTTAGCTCATAACTTTGTCAAATACACTACTATCTCTCCAAAAATCGGCACAACTAAGTTGGATATAATTATAAATAACACTGTCGATTTTTATAATGATCGGGCATTATTTGACCCTATCCCCTATACAAAATCCCCTTCAGGAAATGACTTGAATGTCCACAATTCACTTATAAACACTAATATCAATATGAAATTTACCATAAATAGATTTTATATAAACATTTTATATAAAATGTCGACATTAAATTTTATAAGGATCGGACCAATTTTTTCCCTAGCCCCCATACAACCGGACCTACCGATTAGGGCCTCTTAGCTCATGACTACGATAAATATACTACTATCTTCCCAAAAATTGGCACAACTAAGTTTGATATGTAATTATAAATAACACTGTAATTTTTCGCCATGATCGGAACAATGTGTTGATGTTTGTAGCACTCAAAAATATTTGTCCTTATTAAGCTATGTCCGTCTTTGTGACCGTGTAAAACTTGTGTGCACGCAACAGATCGCAATTTTGAATATAATTTGTTAAAATGTGTCACATACTATTCTCTTGATCCACTGACGATGGCTGTTGAAAATGATTAAAATCGGTCTTCTATTTTTCCTAGTCAGCATACAACCGAACATGAACAGACATTATTTGGAACCTATATAAGATTAACAGAAATGCGTAATTATTGAAATTAATCACATTTAATATTGGCAATTGGTGTAGGGTATCATATGGTCGGCCACGCCCGACTATAATTTCTTACTTGTTTTTTATTCTCATTGCTTTTCAACCACCGGACAGACAACAAGTGCAAAATTAATAAAAGAAATTGAAATAAAATAAAAGTTTAAGAATTAAAATAAAATTAAAGTTTAATTAAATAAAAACAAAAGGAAAAGTGAACATAAATAAAATAAACAGAAATACAAAACAAAAGAAGTAAACAAAGCTTTTTAATAAATAAAAATAAGGGTTGTTTTTTGGCAACACAACAACAAGTGTTTGTGTGTATATAAAAACACATTTGGCCCTGACCTGCCGCATCAAGAGAAAACCAAGTGGACGGCTGCCGGAGACAGTTTGCCAACAACCAGCACCTAGGAACCAGCTCAGCAACTAAGAGGTAACAACCGGGATTCCCGATTTGGCCCCAAACATTGGTCCTTCTCCCGTAAAAAAAAAGGTGCGTAAATTGAAATTATTAAAGTGCAAAGTGTTTCATATGCATATATTGTGGTTCATTATTTGTGGCTCGGAAAAAGTGAGATTGTGTTACTTTTTGAAATTACATCGTGAACTTTTACATTAAGCCGCCGTTTTTCCTTACGGTCATTTGTATTTGTTGTTTTATTTTTGGAACCTAAATAAATTTGTCGTCCATCTTTTTCTCAAGTTTTTAAACTTATTGGAAATTGTGATTTTGGCGCATTTTAACTTAGTGGTTCTCTTTAACTCTTTTATTGGAAAATAAAGTTTTGTGGTTCTCTTTAACTTTGTATGGTGTTAAAAAACTTCAGTTTCTCTTTTCATTTCTTGATTTTATTTAAAGAAGTTTGTGACGCTGTGATTTGTTTTAAATTTTTGGAAAATATATTTTTGTGGTTCTCTTAAATAAATTAAAATATGTCGATTTTTGAAAAATACATAGTGGCTGCGGATGAATTAATCAGCTTTGAGGTTATGCTTAAAGCTGAAGATTTTTCTAGTTACACGGACGATGCTTTTGATTTTGAAAGATCAGAATTAGATAAATCATGGGAAAATTATAAAAGCATTTATAGTGATTGTTCTGATGTCACAATAGAAAAAAAGAAAGAATTGTTAATGGTACAAACAAAGCATCCGCAGGTCCGCAAGACATATATAAGATGTATTAACATTATTTCCAAAGCAAAAGCAAACTTAGGTAAAAAAACTGAAGAAAATGTAGAATCAGCAATTCCCAATCTTTGTGGTTCCATATCCGTACCTCCTTGTGATACTGGTGTTTTTCATTGGGATTACGTTTCGTGGCCCACATTTAGGGATATGTTTACTGCGATTTACATAAACAATACAAGACTTAGCCCTGTAGAAAAGTTATTTTACCTGTTTAGAAAAACTGATGGTGAGGCAAGGGATATAAATAGAAATGTTGCCCTGACAGCAGAAAATTTTGAGATAGCTTGGTATAATTTGAAAATTCAGTATGAAAATAAACGGGTTTTGATTAATAGTCAATTGAAGTTGCTCTTTAATTTAGCTCCTTGTCAACAAGAATCGGCTAGTGAAATTAAAAGACTTCAAAGGGAGATCAATAATTGTATGGCTATCCTTAAGTTATACAATGTAGATATTAATTCATGGGACCCTATTTTTGTATTCCAATGCTCATCCCGTCTCTCAGAATGTTCACTTAATCTGTGGGAACAATCGTTCAAGAACAAAACAGAGGTTCCCAAATGGGAAGAATTAAATAATTTTCTCACCGATAGATTTCATGCCCTTGAAAGTGTATCAGATATCATAGCTATAAACAATTCAAATCCCAGTGGTTCCCAATCGGCACTTAATAGTAACAATAACCATACATCAACTAAAGTAAAACAATTTAAGGCCCATAATACTAAAGTTGAAACCATTTTTTGCAAATTATGCAAAGAAAACCATAAAATCAGCTCCTGTACCAGATTTTTGAATATGGATTATAGAAATCGTGTTTCAACTTTGAAAAAATTTCGTTATTGTTTTAATTGCCTCAACATTGGACATATGTATGGTGATTGTAGTAGCACAAACGGTTGCTCCAAGTGCAAAAGGAAGCACCATACTTTAATGCATAGGGATTTTGTAAATAAAAACAATAATAGCCAAAATCAAGGAAATACTAGATTTCAGGGCGAAAGTCAAAATAGTTCTGTCCAACAAATACAGTCCACAAATACAAATCAATTACAGTCCACTAATATCGCAGGTCCGTCTGGTGTTGTTCAGTCACATCACACATCAGTAGCTAAGAAAGTGATGTTGGCTACAGCTTGGGTCAATATAATTAGTTGTGGTTCCTATTACAAAGTTCGAGCACTCATAGATCCTTGTTCGGATGAAAGTTTTGTTTCTCAGAGAATACAAACTGTATTGAAGTTGCCCAATAAGCCAGTTTCCGCAGAAATTACTGGTTTAGGAGGAGAATTAGTAAGCAAATCTTCAAAGATTGCGAACTTTATAATTGTTTCTCTGTTTGATCAAAATGTATCTCTAAATATTCAGGCTTTAGTAGTTACTCGTGTAACAGGAAATGTACCTACACATACATTTAAGCCTCCAAAGAATATAGATTTGCCCAATCTGAATTATGCTGACCCCAAGTTTTATGAAAGCAGTGAAATAGACTTATTGTTAGGAGGTGATTTGTATCCCCTAATTCTTCGTGATGGAGTTCAATATGGAATTTTCGAATCTTTAGTGGCCCAAGAGACAATTTTTGGCTGGATTGTCACAGGCCCAACTCCAAGTAATGATTCCTCACGTTTTTCAATAACCAATTATATGACAAAAGTTTCCATTGACGATCAGTTAAAAAAGTTTTGGGAGTTAGAAGAAGTTTCTCGTAGAAAGATTTTATCAGAAGAGGATAAAAAATGTGAAGAGATCTATCTTTCTACTTCCACAAGAAATTCTGAAGGAAGATATATAGTTTGTTTGCCCTTTAAAGATACTTTTTCGTCACTTGGCCCAAATCGTCATATTGCTCTCAGTCAATATTTAAGAAATGAAAAGGTTTTAATGCGAAATCCTGAATTTAAGGCTCAATATGATGAGGTTTTAAAAGAATACATAGCTTTGGGACACATGGAGAAAATTGAAATTCAGAAAGTAGTCCGAGTTATTATTTACCTCACCATGGAGTTTTTAAGCCTGACAGTACCACCACAAAGTTAAGAATTGTTTTTAATGCTTCAAGCTCGTCTTCTAATGGTAACAGTCTTAACGATTTGCTGTTTGTAGGCCCTATATTGCAAGCTGATTTAGTAGCCCTAATTCTAAAATGGCGACTCTTTCAGTTTGTCTTTAATGCAGATATATCCAAAATGTATCGACAAATTTTATTAAAATCTGAACATAGACAGTATCAGAAGATAGTTTTTCGTAGTCCTAGTGAAACCCAAATCGAAGATTATCAGTTGAACACCGTCACTTGGCGTTAATTGTGCCCCCCTTTTTGGCCCTTAGAACGCTTTTACAGTTAGCTGACGATGAAGAACGATGTTTTCCGCTAGGCTCAAGAATTCTTCGTGAGTCAATGTATGTTGATGATGCTCTTGTTGGAGCTCATTCGATCCCTGATGCTTTGGAGGCACGAGACCAATTAATTGGTATATTGGGTACAGCTGGGTTTGAGTTGAGAAAATGGGCCTCAAACTCTAAACAAATTTTAAAAATTTGCCCCAAGAACATCTTCTTAACTCTTCTTTTTTGTCGCTCGATGATAAAAGTAATGCTAAAACACTCGGTGTCCGTTGGAATGCGGCAGAAGATTACTTTTATTTTACAACTGAGAAGATTAAGTTCAAAACAGCTTATACAAAGAGGGAAGTACTCTCAATTATAGCAAGGCTATTTGATCCAGCAGGTTGGTTGGCCCCAGTGATTATAACAGCAAAGATTTTGATGCAGCAAATGTGGCTCGACAAAATAGACTGGGACGAACATATAAAACCTGTGGCTCTACAAAAATGGAAGACATTCATTTCTAATTATAATGAGATTGATACAATTAAACTTGATCGTTGGGTTCAATATACGCCTAGTTCTTATATTGAATTTCATGGCTTTTGTGACTCTTCTGAGTTAGCTTACGCAGCTACACTATATATACGTATTGTGAATGGTGATAAAGTTTATGTAAATCTACTAATTGGCAAAACAAAAGTGGCTCCAGTTAAAAGGCCATCTTTGCCGCGTTTAGAGTTGTGTGGCGCAGTTCTTTTAGCCAATTTAGTAAACAGCGTAATCCCCAATTTCAAATTGCATACGTATAATTTATATTTGTGGTCCGATTCGACAATAGTTCTTGCTTGGTTACGAAAACCGCCATGTAATTGGAAAACCTTTGTTGCAAATAGGGTAGCAACAATATTAGAAAAAGTAGGAAACAAAAATTGGTTTCACGTAGCTTCTAATCACAATCCTGCCGATCTAGCAACCCGGGGGCTGATACCTTCGGATTTAAGAGAAAACAAACTTTGGTGGCATGGTCCTGATTGGCTCAGATTAAACAAATCGTCGTGGCCCGAAGGTCCATTAGAATTCGAAACAGTAGAAGAATCGAAACAAGTGCAAGTTAATATTGCTAGATCCGCTGAACGAGAAGATATACTGGACCGTTTCTCAAGTTTGCCCAGAGCATATCATGTTATTGCTTATATATTTAGATTTTTTAATCTTGCGAGCAAAAGCAGACGTAAAAGCTGTAATTACGAAACTGTTAGAATTTCCGCTCAAGAACTTGTATTTGTACGAAATCGGCTATTTTTTCTCTCTCAACAGTCGCACTTTTCTGATGAGTTTAGTTGTCTGTCATCGAAAAAGAAAATTGACTCTCGTAGTCCTTTATTAACGCTTATGCCTTTCTTAGACAAAAATGGTATTATTCGTGCTAATGGTCGTCTTGGCTCTACAAAATGTTTGTCATACAATGAACGACATCCCGTAATACTTGCATATACTAGTAGATTAGCACGACTTTACGTTGAGTTTGTCCACAATATGGTCTTACATGGAGGCCCTCGTTTAGTCCTAAATGTCGTACGTCAGGAGTGTTGGATTATAAAGGCTAAAAATCTAATAAAAACGGTCATCCACAACTGTAAAATCTGCGTTATACATAGAAAAAAGCTTCAAAATCAGATCATGGCAGTGCTACCTGAAGAAAGAACTACTTTAAGTCGCCCTTTTACTAACACAGGTGTTGATTTTGCCGGCCCATTTGAAATCAAAAGTTTCACTGGTCGATATTGCCGTATCACTAAAGGCTACGTGTGTCTATTTGTTTGTTTCTCTACTAAGGCGATTCACATTGAGGCCGTTAGCGATTTGTCCACTCCTGCATTTCTAGCAGCTTTGGCTCGATTTGTTGCTCGTCGTGGTTGCCCTAGTCGCATTTTCTCTGATAATGGAAGGAATTTTGTTGGCGCTGCAAGAGAACTTGAAAATAACTTCGAAAAACATATAGAAGAATTACGTGATTCGGCAGTAGAAAAATATGGTCATCAACATCTTGAGTGGCACTTTATTCCTGCAGCAGCTCCTCATATAGGAGGACTGTGGGAGGCAGGAGTAAAAAGTTTGAAAATGCACTTTAAAAAGTCAGCTGGACAAATGAAATATACGTTTGAAGAGTTTTCGACACTTTTGGCAAAGATAGAATCGTGTCTCAATTCGCGTCCTCTTGGCCCTACGTCCGACAGCATCGATGATTTGTCCGCTCTTACTCCTGGTCATTTTTTAATAGGCTCTGCTATTCTTACTCCTGCTGAACCTGAAGAGCTTAGCTCGCCAATTAGTATAGTAAACCGTTGGCGAAAAATCAAAGCATTGCAGCAAGAAATTTGTCACCGTTGGAAAGACGAATATTTAAAAGAGTTGCACAAGCGTAATAAATGGAAAAGTCCCCAAATAGACTTAAAAGAAAATGACCTCGTTGTTCTTAAAAGTGAACCTTGTTGTCCAACTGAATGGCGCTTAGGTCGTGTTGTAAAAGTTTATCATGGTTCTGACGGTAAAGTTCGAGTGGCTGACCTTAAAACTCAAATGGCGTAATCACTCGACCGATACACAAATTCGTTTTACTCCCTAATTGCACTGATTAATAATTCAATATCACCTTTTCTAAAATAAAGTTGCTCATTTAAACTTCTAGATTAAAAAACAAGTAAGAAATTATAGTCGGGCGTGGCCGACCATATGATACCCTACACCAATTGCCAATATTAAATGTGATTAATTTCAATAATTACGCATTTCTGTTAATCTTATATAGGTTCCAAATAATGTCTGTTCATGTTCGGTTGTATGCTGACTAGGAAAAATAGAAGACCGATTTTAATCATTTTCAACAGCCATCGTCAGTGGATCAAGAGAATAGTATGTGACACATTTTAACAAATTATATTCAAAATTGCGATCTGTTGCGTGCACACAAGTTTTACACGGTCACAAAGACGGACATAGCTTAATAAGGACAAATATTTTTGAGTGCTACAAACATCAACACATTGTTCCGATCATAGCGAAAAATTACAGTGTTATTTATAATTACATATCAAACTTAGTTGTGCCAATTTTTGGCAAGATAGTAGTATATTTATCGTAGTCATGAGCTAAGAGGCCCTAATCGGTAGGTCCGGTTGTATGGGGGCTAGGGAAAAAATTGGTCCGATCCTTATAAAATTTAATGTCGACATTTTATATAAAATGTTTATATAAAATCTATTTGTGGTAAATTTCATATTGATACTAGTGTTTATAAGTGAATTGTGGACATTCAAGTCATTTCCTGAAGGGGATTTTGTATAGGGGATAGGGTCAAATAATGCCCGATCATTATAAAAATCGACAGTGTTATTTATAATTATATCCAACTTAGTTGTGCCGATTTTTGGAGAGATAGTAGTGTATTTGACAAAGTTATGAGCTAAAAGGCCCAAATCGGAAGGTCCGCTTATATGGGGGCTAGAGTAAAACTTGGTCCGATCCCTATAAAATTTATTGTTGGGAATTATGTTTATATAAAACTCATTTGTGCCAAATTTCATCGTGATACTACTGTTTATAAGTGAATTGTGGACATTCAAGTCATTTTCTGAGGGGGACTTTGTATGGGGGCTAGGGTCAAATAATGCCCGATCTTTACGAAAATCACTAGAATTATTAAGACATATATAAAACTAAACTTTTCCAATTTTTGTAGAGATAGCAGATCATTTAACATAATTATGAGGTCAAAAGCCCTATTCGGGGGTCCGGTTGTATGGGGAAAAGGTGCTAATGGTCGTCTTGGCTCTACAAAATGTTTGTCATACAATGAACGACATCCCGTAATACTTGCATATACTAGTAGATTAGCACGACTTTACGTTGAGTTTGTCCACAATATGGTCTTACATGGAGGCCCTCGTTTAGTCCTAAATGTCGTACGTCAGGAGTGTTGGATTATAAAGGCTAAAAATCTAATAAAAACGGTCATCCACAACTGTAAAATCTGCGTTATACATAGAAAAAAGCTTCAAAATCAGATCATGGCAGTGCTCGATTTGTTGCTCGTCGTGGTTGCCCTAGTCGCATTTTCTCTGATAATGGAAGGAATTTTGTTGGCGCTGCAAGAGAACTTGAAAATAACTTCGAAAAACATATAGAAGAATTACGTGATTCGGCAGTAGAAAAATATGGTCATCAACATCTTGAGTGGCACTTTATTCCTGCAGCAGCTCCTCATATAGGAGGACTGTGGGAGGCAGGAGTAAAAAGTTTGAAAATGCACTTTAAAAAGTCAGCTGGACAAATGAAATATACGTTTGAAGAGTTTTCGACACTTTTGGCAAAGATAGAATCGTGTCTCAATTCGCGTCCTCTTGGCCCTACGTCCGACAGCATCGATGATTTGTCCGCTCTTACTCCTGGTCATTTTTTAATAGGCTCTGCTATTCTTACTCCTGCTGAACCTGAAGAGCTTAGCTCGCCAATTAGTATAGTAAACCGTTGGCGAAAAATCAAAGCATTGCAGCAAGAAATTTGTCACCGTTGGAAAGACGAATATTTAAAAGAGTTGCACAAGCGTAATAAATGGAAAAGTCCCCAAATAGACTTAAAAGAAAATGACCTCGTTGTTCTTAAAAGTGAACCTTGTTGTCCAACTGAATGGCGCTTAGGTCGTGTTGTAAAAGTTTATCATGGTTCTGACGGTAAAGTTCGAGTGGCTGACCTTAAAACTCAAAATGGCGTAATCACTCGACCGATACACAAATTAGTTTTACTCCCTAATTGCACTGATTAATAATTCAATATCACCTTTTCTAAAATAAAGTTGCTCATTTAAACTTCTAGATTAAAAAACAAGTAAGAAATTATAGTCGGGCGTGGCCGACCATATGATACCCTACACCAATTGCCAATATTAAATGTGATTAATTTCAATAATTACGCATTTCTGTTAATCTTATATAGGTTCCAAATAATGTCTGTTCATGTTCGGTGTATGCTGACTAGGAAAAATAGAAGACCGATTTTAATCATTTTCAACAGCCATCGTCAGTGGATCAAGAGAATAGTATGTGACACATTTTAACAAATTATATTCAAAATTGCGATCTGTTGCGTGCACACAAGTTTTACACGGTCACAAAGACGGACATAGCTTAATAAGGACAAATATTTTTGAGTGCTACAAACATCAACACATTGTTCCGATCATAGCGAAAAATTACAGTGTTATTTATAATTACATATCAAACTTAGTTGTGCCAATTTTTGGGAAGATAGTAGTATATTTATCGTAGTCATGAGCTAAGAGGCCCTAATCGGTAGGTCCGGTTGTATGGGGGCTAGGGAAAAAATTGGTCCGATCCTTATAAAATTTAATGTCGACATTTTATATAAAATGTTTATATAAAATCTATTTGTGGTAAATTTCATATTGATACTAGTGTTTATAAGTGAATTGTGGACATTCAAGTCATTTCCTGAAGGGGATTTTGTATAGGGGATAGGGTCAAATAATGCCCGATCATTATAAAAATCGACAGTGTTATTTATAATTATATCCAACTTAGTTGTGCCGATTTTTGGAGAGATAGTAGTGTATTTGACAAAGTTATGAGCTAAAAGGCCCAAATCGGAAGGTCCGCTTATATGGGGGCTAGAGTAAAACTTGGTCCGATCCCTATAAAATTTATTGTTGGGAATTATGTTTATATAAAACTCATTTGTGCCAAATTTCATCGTGATACTACTGTTTATAAGTGAATTGTGGACATTCAAGTCATTTTCTGAGGGGGACTTTGTATGGGGGCTAGGGTCAAATAATGCCCGATCTTTACGAAAATCACTAGAATTATTAAGACATATATAAAACTAAACTTTTCCAATTTTTTGTAGAGATAGCAGATCATTTAACATAATTATGAGGTCAAAAGCCCTATTCGGGGGGTCCGGTTGTATGGGGGCTAGGTGAAATAATGGACCGATTTCAACCATCAATAGCGTTCGTCCTTGGACCAAGAGAAGTGCATGTTCCAAATTTCATCAAATTATCTCAAAAATTGCGACCTGTAGAGTGCGCACAAGGTTTACATGGACACACAGACAGACGGACGGACGGACAGACGGACATAGCTTAATCGACTCAGGAAGTGATTCTGAGTCGATTGGTATACTTTAAGGTGGGTGTAGGACCAATATTTTTGGGTGTTACAAACATCAGCACAAACGCATAATACCCTCCCCACTATAGTGGTGTAGGGTATAAAAATGGACTTCAACACCGATTATGGTTGCCCGCTTTGTAATCGCCTTCACGCCATACGACAGTGTTCACGTTTTATTGTGATGCCCGTGGAGCTAAAGCTTCGAGTTGTTGCCCAAAACTTGTTATGTTATAACTGCCTGGCTCAGTCGCACAGCCGAGCGAATTGTAGAAGTATAGATCGCAGGACCATAATACTTGGTTGCACCCTTTGCCGCAGGGCCGTATTTGGTTTCCCATGACAGCGTTGATACGGGTAGTCACCAATCATGATACTGACGTCTTCATTAGAGCATTAATAGATCCAACAGCGGCCAGGTCAGCAATCATGAAACGTGAAGTCGAAGAATTGGGCTTACGGATTTCTAAAGGACGTACTGACATCGTTGTATACCATCGTCGCGAGAAGAAACGTCGCATAACGGTTGAATGTATTTTAGAAGACAAGATTTACGGCCGAAGCCCTATTGTTAATGTGGAGCGAGCAGACAAATATCTACGTCCAACAACTGTAGACCGTGCCAATGCGGACGTACACTGGCATATTAGTTGACCTTACCAGCTTATCCTAGGAGCTGATACTATGAGCAGAATTCTGATTGGACCAACTATGAGTCGCCCAGGACAACTATATGCCCAGAATACCATATTCGGCATAGCATATTTTGGAGAAGGTGTCAAAAGAACCTGAAGTATATTATTTATGCTATAATTTGTTGCCCTCAAAAGGCTTTAAAGTATTATTTACATTTTGTTTGATATGTACTCTTTAACGTTACACTTAAAAACATTTGAATGTACTATTATTTTTTATATACTTGAATTGTTCTCATATGTTAATTATATTTGTTAACTTTTGTTATTCCTTTTTATAATTAACAATAATGAACTTAAAATGTTAATTTGTTGCTCTAGATAACATAATTGAATTTGTTATATTACTTATATCTAATTTTGTATTTGATTTTATATTTTGCACTACCGTTGCAAGGTGGGCGGTATGTTTGTGTCTGTCTAGTGTAACACATAGTTTATATTTTCTCTATGTGTAAAATCGCTAGAACAATATGCATTATATGGCAACTCCCCACTTTAGTGTAGTGAGTTTGCGTTGCTCTTTATGTCAAAGGGCTTGACACATTTTTTTTATTCTCATTGCTTTTCAACCACCGGACAGACAACAAGTGCAAAATTAATAAAAGAAATTGAAATAAAATAAAAGTTTAAGAATTAAAATAAAATTAAAGTTTAATTAAATAAAAACAAAAGGAAAGTGAACTTAAATAAAATAAACAGAAAT